GCTTTATTGATTCCGCGATGAAAGGTGCGCGTGTGCACGCGTGTGGAGGTGCGTGCGTCCGTGCGCTTGCGCGCGCGTGTTCGCGCCATGATCATGTATCGTAAACGGTGTGTCCGCAAGTATTTATAATCTTATTATTGCTAACCTATTTTAACTAGGGTTAAAGTTACTAATAGGACTTGAAGGACTAATAACCGATAACTGAACTTGACTCCGCAACAGTATATCGCCAAAATGCAATATATACTTATAACTGAGCTTGATATCAATGTGAAAATCGGCATAACTGCAAAACCGAAATACATCCTAAAACCTTATCATGCTTGAGGCGCCTGCAGCTGCTGCATAGCATATAATATGACTCGTGTCAATATTACCAATAGAATTGCACAGATATAGACTAACCAGTATGTTATTTCAACGGGGCTCCCTGCTACCGCTGCCTGCTCGCGCTTTTATATAATTACCCAAAACAATAACACGCGAGCGCTAACGATGCAAGGAAGTTACGCACAATTACTATTATAGTATACTATGCAGTACTATACAAATACTACGTAGTAAATTGTGTCATAATCACTTACTTGCTCGATGCGGTGTATTCCAGTAAGGCGCGGATGTCCGCGAGCAGGCCCGTGTGTACTGATCACACCGCAAGAAGAGCGATACCATGCAGTGATGAGACCTAGCTGACGTCATGCTCACGTCCCTCTCCACGCTCTATAGCTGTTCAAATAGGCGGGGATCAACTCCCGTCTTATATACGCCGCTCTCCTCCGCCCCATCCCCGTCCCCCCGTGCCAGTCCTCATTCTCCCACACTAAGCCGGTCCCCCTGGGGCGCTCCGTCTCTCGGGCCACTAGACGAGTCACTGCCACGTTACGTCAACCAGCTACGTCGTAATCACATCGTGGATGTGAACAGGGATAGGCTTGCGCTGGGGAGCGGCCTGGGAGTTATACAGTTTTAACGTAGGCTTTCCCCGTTACGCAACCAACAATACTCTCCTCCTCCGTTACTCTACACCGTAATGCGGTTACATCACAACGAAATGCCTGACAGCGACGTCGGACAAGATTCAGATATTGCATCACAGACTTAGGTAGCATAAGCAATGGTGTCCATGCAACGAGATATGTATAGCATGGCTGCACACGATAGCAGTTTACAGCGTAATAACCTGGCTGTATAGCACTTGTTTACTTTCTCGTTTAGTGTATGCATATCGGCAGCATATGGTGTATGTATACACTAGAGTTCTTAATTAGGCACGAAGTGTGGCCGCCAATGTTCAAATAGAACAAAGGATACGCGTCATTCCTGTTTGAGAGATTTACGGGGTCTTAATTCGACTTCGCATCTGTGCTTCCAGGAATTATTATTCATTCGCTGTCGATGTCGCATCGTCATCCGCGGAATTAGTTGGCATTAAAATTTTCTGCAACTTTCTGCGCACGCGTCTCGTGCGGTTACGGCCATTGTTACCATAGATACGGCGTGCTGAAGCGCGGCGGGCGTAATTAAATAAATTTCGGAGCATCTTTGTACTTTTTATTGGCATTGTACGGAGAAACGCCCGCGCTGCTGTTCTGACTCATTAACGGACCTGTCGTAAACCCGCTCCGTTTTGCGACCAAGTGTAGCTACTATCACGATCACGCTTTTTCGAGTTGGGCTAGGCGCTCGTTTTATATCAAGGGGCATGTACAAAATACGTAGCCGGGGAATATGAGCTGAAATGTCACGAATAAATACGAAACGTTTATTAGGATGAATTTAAACCACCGAGCGGCATGGGATAGGGTGTGGGTACGGAGTGAGGGTAGATTAGTGGATGAATTGAAGCAATATACGGTTATCTAGTAGAGGGTATGTACGTAGGTAGAATGAGGGATAGAAGTAATGTGAGAGCATGAGAAGAGAGAGGGGACAGAGAAAGAGAGACGAGAAAGAAAGAGTGTGCGTGATTCAGAAGATAGCGAGAGAGAGAGAGAGGGGGGGGGATCCGCGCGCGCGAAAAAAAATAGGGAGAGGAAAGAAATACTGCACACACTTCATTTTCTTTACATAACAAATACTGCAACGTGTAAGAACTTTAGCATGAAATATCTAGCAGCACACGATCTCGCGCGACAAGTTATATTCCAAGGTCTTTCCACTCGCCGCAATTACGAACGTAATGCGATTTGCTCACGCGCATTAAATTCACAAGATAATACGTCTGACCGCATAACAAAAACGCCGGCCACATTCAAAGACGAGTCAGTATTTAATTTAAAGTCAAAGAGGAAATGACGCTTCGTTTTGAATGGCAAGACGGTCTTTCATCGCCGCTCTCTTCACGCGTACACATTGTACTGCGCGCTTCCATTGTAAGATCTCCTGTACGCAAGCAGTTGACACGCCTATAGCAGCGGCAGCTTTAAGCACAGGTATTCTAGGTGGAAGAAAACGCAAATAGTAAATAGCAGACGAGAGCCCTGTGTGATGTGTCAGCTATATAGATTAATATCTACCGTATATTTTCGTTTATAGGTCGACTTGGCGTACGAGTCGACCCGGACAGTTTTATCTCTAAATGCGGATTTAGGCAAACTCTCCGTATTAGTCGAGTATATATATATATATATATATATATATATATATACGCGCGTGTCGGAGAACGTGTCCCCTGTGGCCTCTATGTCACAGAAGCCAGACGTGACTGTGATCCGCCATGCTCCAGAATAGACCTGGGATCCACCTAAACTGTGCAACAACGCGAAATCATGTCATTTGTATGGTAAAGAAAACAACACTACGCGACAAGGACTGCACGTATATACATCAATAATACTAGTGCACATGTAAATCATATATGTATATATATAGTAATAAAATAATATTACAAATGTACATTATATGTACTGTAGGTTTATTATGTATCGTACACGTAAATATTTTTTATGGACAGTCATAGTAACACGCTATATCAGCGTGTATACTCTCACAGTTGTACATCCACATAGTATATATTTAGAAAATACACGCGAGAGCGCACGCAGTACAACTTGTATTTGTGTACGAGTCTGTACGAGCCTTATATTACTACCGCCTGCGATACGCATATATATCCCTCTTTACGCCATTGCTGCGGGATAACCATGATAATGTAACGTAGTGAACGACATCAAAGCTTGAAAATAGCCTGTCGCCACAAGCAGCGAGCGCTGCGACCGACAGACAGACAGACAGACTGACAGATAGACAGACAGACAGACAGACTGACAGATAGACAGAGAGATGGATGGATGGATGGATGGATGGATGGATGGATGGATGGACGGACAGACGTACGAACAGACAGACAAACAGACAAATATTCACTGACAGACAGTCAAATATTCCACCGAAGTAAGAGCGCGTGTCCCAGTGAGGAATTAACACGGATATGAGTGGAGCTTCGGAATACAGACTATCGTTTATTATGGCGTATCTATGAGAGAAGCTGGCACGCACGTACACAGTATCTTACTTGCACTGATCGCTTTACAAGCTGCCGGGGCGAGACTGTGAGTCAGTACATTATTATATAGCTGGGATACAGCTTTCAACAATGCGGCGTGCTAATGTTGTTAGCCGAATTTGCTCTGCCTGCAAAATACCGCAGACCGTGAAATACACGGATCCTCTCAATATGCGCATATGCACGTACAAAGATACCACACTCACTCACTCACACACGCACGCACGTACGCACGCACGCACGCACGCACGCACGCACGCACGCACGCACGCATACAATGTTCACATATAGCTCAAGTAAAATTTGCGTGAGCACTACGCCAGACCTGCTTGGAAGAGATCAGGCGGAAAAATAAATACAAACGCGCACAAATTTCCACGATTAAATACACTCTATATGACACCCCCTTTCAAACTAGATAATATAACTCAAATAGTTTCTATCATTGTGAAGGAATTAAGGTCTATTACGCCCTAGCAATCACACAATAGACAGAAATAGACAGAAATAACATTACAGCAGAGGAGAATATCTCATTATCGAAAGTAACATTACAAGACAAAATTACTGCACAAAATGTCAGCGCGGTACAACGTTCTAAAGAATAAAATATACATATAATATTTAACAAATAAGCCGATCAAAAAGCATTGTTATGATTATTTTACAGCGAAAACGTCCCGTAATTATACACATATACAGAAACATGTAACGTAAACACATTCGCACATCCACACGTATCCATGTATATATATATATATATATATATATTTACTTATTTATTTAAAATCTTCGTGTTTACAATTCTAGCATAAACGATCCACTTGCTAAAAACCCATGAATGTTCTATATTTTGACAAAACCGTTCCATTGAATGCGTACACGCGGGCGTAGGCATATAGTAGTACATCACTGCAGGTAGGCCAGCCAACAACCGCTCTCTCATCATCAAGCATCGTCATCGTTCTAACAATCACATACGACAAGAACGACGCTAGCGCGATCCGATATTAAATGTACAACACGAGCGGCTTATAGACACGAGTAATTCACCATACAATTAGCACGAAACTTAAAGGCTCACAATGCGCATCCAAACGCTAATTTCTCCAGTACTAGACTAGCAAATAGTTCGTGTCATGCATAATCATACTACCTTATGGCAAAATAAACTCTAGTTCCTCCCATTTCACTGCGCGTTGTCTTATAAAAGGTATTTTGAAAATACCTCCAATGTTGGTGAAATTCTCCGATGTTGTTGACAGTTTCCCCAATCCCCAAGCAACCGTGCAGCGGTGCTGCGGTACAGCGGTACGGGCGCAGCAAAGATAAAAACATGTGACGTCACGTCACCACTTCGAGGCTATTTTGTTTGGCAATCAGTCGGCGTTTGCGCCAGAATGCCAGTTTTCTTACCTCTTTCTTGTGGGTTTTAAGCAAACGCGCAGTGAAATGGGAGCAACTAGAGTTTATTTTGTCATAAGGTAGTGTGATTATGCATGACACGAAGTATTTGCTAGTCTAGTACTGGAGAAATTAGCGTTTGGATGCGCATTGTGAGCCTTTAATGCACACGAACGCGCCAGTTTTATGTCGGAAAGATACCCTGCGTGACAGTAGTGGCGCGACCTTCGTCTGCACCGCGAATTAGCAATAAGGACGAGTGTCTCAAGTGGCACGATGCAGCAGCTGCCTCGTGTGTGAATCATCACTTACGACACTCGCTTGTCATCGTCGACACAGCCTCACTGGAGCGATGCGTAAGATACCTCACGATGTAAAGGCGAGGCAGCGCCGACTTCCACACCGTCACCTAGTTGTAAGACGCAGTGCATCTCACGGGACGTGAATCACGGGAGAATGATAACGGCGCGCCTGATCACGGGAGAATGATCATGGGGTGCGTGATCACGGAAGAATGATCACGGCACGCGTGATCACGGAAGCGTAGCACGCGACTGACGGGTGAACGTCACTGCACGCGTCTCAGGGATGTCAACCACGAACTGTGCACGAACCTCGTCCCTCGCTCTGTAGCTGTGCTCGTCCTTCGCTCTGTAGCTGTGCACGTCCCTCGCTCTGTAGCTGTGCTCGTCCCTCGCTCTGTAGCTAATTCTTCTAGCTTGCTCGGACTTCTAAAGACTAGCTATCACAAAGACCTGCTAGAACGCCCCCCCCCGCGCCCGCAGCGTGGTTGCATGCACCGTGCATACGAACATTCGTCGTCATCGACTGCGGATACGACACAGGCACGGACGAGCACGCCGGTGTCTGCTTAGCCGAAATCAAAAGTAAAACGCGAGAGAGGTTGCGCGAATTTACACAGTAGCTTTAAAAATTTCTAATCGTGCCGCATCATTCGGAACCACTTTGCAAGAGTGCGTTTAACTACAACTGTCACTTTTCTGGTAAATGGATACAATTATCTGCTGCAAGCTCATGGAAGTTGAAACCGCAGGTAAATTGTGCCGGCAGACCATCGCTCTCAATAAACTTATCCCAGACATTAAAACGTCCTACCGAGCGCGTGTAAAGATGATTTTCCACCAGATAGCCAACCAATTTCATCCGCACGTAATCGTAATGTAGCATATCGATAAGCGAGCTTGCGTCCGTTGAAGGCGAAATGCATACACCGAATGTAACCGACACGTTAAGTGGAGAGCAGTCAGCATGGACCTTTTTTTACGGCTACTCAACTCTGTACCGACAGCAGCAGCGAATCAGCCACGGGCATGGACATAGTTGCTCAGCGACCTTTGGAGACTTCAAGCGACGTTTGGACGACAGACCCGCCTTCTGTTCCCACGTACCTTCCTCCACGATGCACCCTATACGTGGTTGGTTTCCACAACAACCGCATCATTCTAATTTCCACGTATTTCCTCCACGACCCTAACTGGTTTCTCAGTACCTGGAAACAGACAGTTTCCGGGTTTTCCAAACCTAGAGAATGGTATTTGGGGGGGGGGGAGCGATTCGTTTCCAGGGACATCCACTAATAATGATGGCGGAGGGGGGTGATGTGCGTGTAGACTGGCGCCATCAGATAGTCATTGAGCGTAGCTCCATCAGCTGCTTAGCGACGGCACTGAACGGCGGTCGTTTGTCCGGGTCCAGGTCCCAGGCATGCAGCATAATCTCGTAGATGTCCTTAGGGCAACCCTCCGGACACTCCATCCGATAGCCTTTCTCCACGTGCTTGACCACATCCGCTAGCGGCTGTAGGCAAGAAAAACAACAGTAATAACATTATAACATACATAAACAACAACAAGAACAACAACATTATCGACCACAGCAATTAGCGGCCGTAAACAACAAAAATAACAACAACAAAACCGCATTAGCTTCCCGGTCTGCTAGAGGCTGCAAACAACAATAACAATAACAAAAACAACATTAGTGTCCCCGTCTGTCAGGGGCTGCAATCAACAATAACAATTCAATAACAAAAACAACATTAGTGTTCCTGTCGGTCCGAGGGTTAAACAACAATAACAATAACAAAAATAACATTAGTGGCCACGTCTATTAGCGCGGCTGTAAATAACATGATTGACCACACCTGTTAGCGACTATAAAAACAACAACAACAACAACAACAATAACAACAACAACAGCAGCAGCAGCAACAACAACGACAACAACAACGACAGCAGCATCAGCAGTAACTACAGGCACGTGATTGACATGCAGCAGGCGAACAAAGTCCGCTCACACGTGACACATCATAATGCATCTTGAGACTTGATTAAATTCGAGGAAAAACTAATGAAGCTATAATCAGTTCGCGTTCATTACGGCACATTAGCAAAATCACTAGTTTGCAGCTTTACACTCATAGAAGACTGCGTAGACTACATGCACAGCTGTCTCATCATTACAATCCTCGGGGTAACTTCAGGGTAACCACATTATTTACATACTAGAATAGTAGCAGGTGAGAAGCAAAGGTGCTAAGTCTGATTTGTATTTCTTGATCATGAATTTCCCTTCCACACAGGGTTCGAATTTTGGCTGAAAATCTAGTGGACAGCAGGACCACCAACTTCAGAAAATTGGTGGTCCTGCACAAAAGTTGGTGGTCCGCTTATTTACTAGCAGTGAGTAACAAAATAGTATACAAAAATAACCATTGGCATCAACAGCATACATGTAACTTAGAGTTGGTCAAATAATATATTTCAACTCTAGGAATGTCGGGGGAGCTTCTGGAAAAGGTTTTACTTTCGTTTTTTTGCCTCCCCAGTCCTCGGTACCCCCATGCATAGATCAATGCTGCCGCACATCCGCAAAGTTACAAGTGCCTAGAATCTTGATGAAATAGAAGTATATACAGTTTACATTGCTTCTAGATACCTAACTGAATAAAAATAGTCCACTTTCTGCGTAAAGAAAAGTGACGAATTCAGTTAACAGCTTTGATTACGTGCGTGTCAGGTGTCACTGGTCGTGCGTTCACTCCCCACGATAACCCCTGCGACATATGAACTTATTGTTATGAGGTCATAAAAACACTGAGCTACGCTACATGCCGCAATCGATTTCTTTGACTGTCACGAGGTTTTGTGCGTGTGGCGAATCATGCGTTGAGGGAGTTCATGCCCTCGGCTCTAGATGTTTTGGACACCCCCGTCTACGGTCAAGAACCGAGCGTATTAGAATGCGCTCCCGTTTACAAGTCTGTCTAAACTGCAGTTAGTGCTGCTGTTAGTGGAGACGGATGCACATTCAAATGAGATGACATACATACATTAATTCATTAATCAGTGTTGAGATAAACGGGACGTTAGTTTCATCACGTACAGTAGTATCTGTACAGGAATTACATGAAATATCTCCGAAACTCTCGTACAGACAGCCAGACAGACAGACAGACAGACAGACAGACAGACAGACAGACAGACAGACAGACAGACAGACAGACAGTTGGGCCATTTCAATACATGTATACGTTTTGTGGTGCTTAACCGCCTACGTGACATGAAATCTCTCGTGTTTGGCAACAAATAACAGTCGTTTATAACCGCATCATGCGCGCGAAAATAAGCTAAAAGCTCAAGATAATAACCACCTAATAAAGATTAATCAAGCCACCTAATCAAGATAATAATCACCTAATAAAACTTGGTCGGGACGAAGGTACAACGGCGCCACACTGCCACTATGCTGTTTGTTGTGGCAATGCGACATTTACTTGATACCAAACGCTAAACGTTCGCTAGCAATATTTAACCGTGAATATAATTACGAGCCATAAACGAATTAAAGTCATATTTAAGGTTTAGTACGTTTTCATGCAACGCGACGCTAATGGACACGAACTACGGGAAATAACTAAAATACTATCAAAATAACGTTAATATAAGATTGAATGCACTATTCGCTGTGTCTAGGCAGCAGCAAATAGTGGAATGTGAGAGCACATTCTTGCGATTGGTATTACCCTTCAAATCATGTCCGAGTTCAATCAGAGTGACTTTTTCCACAATGGAATAATGTTCACTATTCCACCTAAAATTAATACACACGCACATACACACACACGCACACGCAAGCGCACGCACACACACACACACGCACACACGCACACACGCACACACACACGCACACACACACACACACACTACAGCGGGTGGGAACACATATTAGGCCCGTTGGAAAAAAAAATTCGTTTTAATAAATTGTTGCACATCAAAAACCCCATCCTTCTTATTGTGTTCTATCGTAATCCTCTTTGTCATTTACACTCGCTCTTTACACATCCTGCATACGTCTCGACTGCGAAGTTGATTATTGCGCTAGGGATCATTTCTGAGTACCATACTAGTCAGCTCATGTTTCGCGTTTGACACCTCGCACTATCTACGAATACATGTCACATCGCTTTTGCAAAAAAATAATCCTTTCGAGTTGAATGACGCACAGTGATTTACCCTATAAGGTAGGAAATCTCAACAAATCACGTGCGGTGACCGGCCTAATGCTGCATTACGGCACGGGAGGTTACACAGGTCATGGTTATCGTAACGAAACCCAGTAGTAGCATGATGACAACATTAGAATAATACCCCGTACAGACTACAAATTTGATACCACATTAAAGAAAATTAAGAAGGGCCAGGCCCGGATCAAGTTATCCCTCTATACTTACTGTATCTGTACGCACTCCGGTGCCTAGCGCGCGCCATATTTCGCAATGCGCACGCGCATAGCCTTATTTAAATGACATAAAAGTACATAATAGCCTATTATCTACTTCTGATTAGCTGGAGAGGAAACCACTGATCCATCGGTCAGCTTTGCTTCTCTACCTTTCCTTTTCATGTTGTTAATTTGCAGTATATAGTAAGTAATAGTCTATATACAGGCCAGAACAGAGAGGGGGGGCAGGTGGGCCAGTTGGCATGGGGGACCCTTTGGTAAAGAATATTGATATTGTAAAGAAAGTCAAGGGGGATCATTTAGCACAAAATATTAATATTTTAAAGAAGAATCATAAACGATTACTACACATGTATATAAATCCATACATAAATCACATGTATTTAGCACTGATTACAATGAAACATAATCAGCATAGTAGAAGCAACAGCGCAGCCGCCGCCACCACCCATCAGTGACCCTGCTTCACTTCACCCCAACCATTCAGTAACACTTTAATTCCGCATGTGACTATATATATATTATAGCGTTTTAATTGCAGGATGAATGATCGAAGAAGGTGGTACGAGCCGACTCACGTCGTATTTCTTATCTAGCCGGTTGCTATAACAGAATGCCACTGCTCTTAATCAGTCCGACGACTAGTATGGATGTACGTCTACCGTTATAATAAAACATGTCGTAATGCATCACGCGGCTAAAGGCTTCGTCGTCCTGCGACAATGATCGTGCTGTACAACAGCCGCGCGAATAATCGGCTACTAATCGAACTATGTGACAATTTCACTTATTTCACACTTCCTTCATACCTCTTGCTATATGCGGCACGCTCGCAGCGCCACGTACGCACGCATGAGCACGCACGCACGCACGCGCACGCCACACACACAGCACACACACACACACACACACACACACAGAGAGAGCAGAGAAATGAGATGAGAGATGAGAGAGAGAGATGAGATGGAGAGGAGAGAGATGAGACGAGAGGAGGACAGATGAGACGGACCGCGAGAGAGAGCGGAGATCGGAGAGCCGAGAGAGCGAGAAAGAGAGGAGAGAGAGAGAGAGAGAAGGATGGAGAGAGAGAGAGAGAGATGAGACGAGATGAGAGAGAGAGAGAGAGTGAGAAGAGAGGGCAGAGGAGAGAGAGACGAGAGGAAGAGAGAGATTGAGAGAGAGAGAGAGAGAGAGAGGAGAGAGAGAGAGACGAGAGAGGAGAGAGAGAGAGAGAGAGAGAGAGAGAGAGATACACACACACGCGCATACACACACACGCGCGCCACACACACACGCACGCACGCACGCACGCACGCACGCACGCACGCACCGCACACACGCGCGCACCACACACACACACACACACACACACACACACACACACACACACACACAGCACAAACACACAATTCCACTGGCAAACGTCAAGCGGGTTGACTGTGCCTTGCATCTCCTGGGGACGGTTTATCACCAACCAATTATGGGCGGTCTCTGAAGAAGAGTACCTATTGAAGCCAACATGGTTCGAAGGCCCAGCCGTACCAGGGAGCTTATTTAAAAATGTCAATAACAACCCAGAGGACATGGAGGTTGAAGGTGACAGAACATATTCCGAGTTGGAAGTACTGAGCGATTCAGATGGTGAAGCATGGAGTGATGAAGACTCTGATGTGGAGGTGGAAGACTTCTTGGAGGAAACAACAAATTTTATAGAATGCTACGATCCAAAGTTTGGTCTATATATACAGCTCGAATATTGACATGGTTGAGATTTGAGAACCTTTAATTAGACAACTTGTAATTTTTTTCCCCATTTTCCACATTTCTGGGGGTCTGCAAGGGGTAAAGATAAGAAATAAAATATGATAAATGACATAAAACATGATGGTTTGAACTAAATTTGATAGTTTATTATTAAAATGGATTTTGATATACTTGAGTACTGAATGTAAATGAAGAATAAAAAATGTTTAATTACTGGATTGCTAAATTGGGAGGCAATAATGTGATTTGGAATTGTAAATGTATGCCATATGATGTTTCATTTTATAGAA